TTGATGTCACTTGTTAAATCCACTTCAATCAGTGTAGATGAAGGGGAGGAGACAGCTTAAAGAAGGATATTTAAGCCTTGAGACAATTGAGTCCTGGATTGTGTATGTGTGCCATTCAGAGGGTGAAAATATTTAAGTGCCTTTGAACCGGGTATGGTAGTAGGTGCCAGGCTCACCAGTTTGTGTCAAGAACTGCAACGCTTATGGGTTTTTCACGCCCATGTGTATCAAAAATGGTCCACGACCCAAAGGACATCCAGCCAACTTCACACAACTGTGGGAAGCATTGGAGTCAACATGGGCCAGCATCCCTGTGGAATGCTTTCGACACCTTGTAGAGTCCATTCTGAGGGTAAAAGGGAGGAGAGGTGAAACTTAATATTAGGAAGGTGTTCCTAATGTTGGGTACACTCAGTGTATAATTTTAATATCATGGATGGTCAGTCCTTACATCCATATCTCTGTCTATGAATTTTAGAGTTGTTACATTTCTCCAGCCTCATCCCTCAGCTTTGGACCCAAACAGGGGCTGGGAAAAAGCTTTGCTATTGTTTCAACTGCTGATTGCCCCTTTAACTGCACATACCTTTAATTGATAGAATAATTAGAAAATTAAGTCAATGCAATTCAGGACAAGAAATGAGATGCAACTTGCAAGAACTGGAAAAAAAACTTCCAGCAAATGAGTATTTAAATAAAAAAATATTTGCATTTTAAACAATTTCCTGGAATTGACCCCAACTCTTGCAGGAGAACACATGTATCCATGTCTGGCAATTATAGATATAAACAATTTTCCCAATGTCATGTCAGTTATGCATTCACCACACAAATAGACACAATTCTCTCTCCAAACTAGTAAATAGCATACTTGTATTGCATTTGATATATTTGATATAAAATGCAACATATGCCTAACTTACTGGCTTCACTGACTTCCTTGCGCAAATAATGTATGTACGACACTCCGAATTTTTACTTTCCAATATGAACAAATCATATATCTGATCCAGTGCACAGGGAGAATGGGAGAGAGAATATTATGTTTTAGCCATTCAGAAAATCAATAATCTCAAAGGTTATTCCCGGTCCTCTAGACTCATGCCACAGAACTCGTATGGCTGTTTACTGAATTGTTGGAGATCACTTTTCACCTGAGAAGAATTCAGTAGTCCTGATTATAATGTCAGTTTAAATGCTATGGCCTTCCCCAAGAGTACATGACTTGACAATATAAAACCACAAACACATGGAAGTTATAGATAGAGATACCACAGATGATGTACTGCGATGCTAAATATGATTGTTGTTCTACAATTCAAACAGATGTTTAGTGGCTTGGGGACTTTGTTACGCATTGAATCTCTCTCTCTCTCTCTCTCTCTCTCTCTCTCTCTCTCTCTCTGTTTCTCTCTCTCACATACACACACACACACACACACACACACACACACATACACACACAAACACACAGTGGCGTACCACAGTTTTGCGGGGCCCTCCCCAAGGTCTGAGAAAGCCCCCCCACACTACCTTCCTTGACCTTCAGGCTGTGACTAACTCATCCTTATGTATTTTTTGGGGTGTATTTCAGCCATTCAAAATGACATGTAATTTGGTTGGATAACTTTATCTCTTTATTGGCAGAACATTTTATCATAATTACTTTGCTAATAATTCTAAACAGTCCACATACTCTAACAGTTACTCTTGATCTGTGTATTTTGAATGTTTTAGGATACGTGAACATCCTCCATTTAAACACAAAGTTTAAAGTACAGCACCCCGAGTCAACAAGCTGCTTGCTGTCCAGTCATATTAGTCAGTGAGTTCACAGCAATATTTGCATGACCCCAGTCACACAGAGCAAGATTAGCATGGGGCAAAGATTCATTCATCATTTGTCCGTGTTTTACATTTTCTCCTTTACTACTGAACACCTACTGGGCCACTTACTGCGACAAGCTGGCCCAACTATACCGATCTCTCTGACCAAGACCTTTCTGAATGTTGTTTGGTTTTGAACCAAAGTATGAAATTGGGGAAATGCTCTGAACTGTTTCATACTCTCCTATTCATTTAAAGCCAGAACAGCCTTGGGAAACCATTGGAAAACAACATAGCAAAGCAGTCTAACGAGAGAGAAGCTGCCCTGTTTTCTACTTGGTTTCCCCTTTTTTGCTCTCTATCCCATCTCAACTCTTTCTCTCTGCAGCTGAAATATTTCTGGGTCCCAGGGGCAGGCACATTCCTCCCACTCACAGTTGTGCAATCCCTGACAATCACCGCCCTCCCCCTTCGGCCTCCCCGGCCTAACACACAGCACAGAGGAGCTGTCCAAGCTGTCTGGACAATGTTCTGCAGCGGATCGGCTACCCACCAGACCAGTTAACAAACTCATGGGCCCTGACTTTGCAGAAAACAGCCAAAGGGATGTAACATAAATGGCTGGCCTTCCATTTTGTTACTGCTTAATGTGGGATTGGGAAGAAAAGGGTATTCCCTGCCTTCGGTCTAAAAGTCACAGGCTCTGAAAGACAACGTGTGTTTTGTTGTTTTTGCTGAGATTTAGTGTTGTGCCCCAGTCTTCCTTTATAATAGCCTATGTTACACTCTTCTTGTGGTTGAAGGCATGATGTCGGAGAGTTTGTAATGTATGTTTTATTTGGACTGTGGAAATATTAAGAAGTAGCATGGTTTCCTCTGGGGTTTAATATGGTCAACAGAAATCAATAATATAATATAATGGAATAGGTCAAAATTACATGAGACATCTTGATTATATATCTGGCTATTTTTGCCTTTTCATAATCAAGCAGGGTGGTAGCCTATAATGCAATTTTCCATTTTATTTTAGACAATTGAATTCCTCCTAGGATACAGCAACTCACAAAAACCATAGCACTTAGCTTGATACTTTATCAACATACTTGAAGTCAACAAAATGTAATTAAGTGATAATGCCCTAGAAGCTGGTGTTTGGAGGATATATTGGCATGGGTGTTGTTAGGCCCTCGACTGGCTTCGAGGGTATTATCACTTTTATACACGGGGTTACCAATATATTCAAATAATGATTGACATATTGACAAAAAAACGTTATTTTGATTAATTGATTCATACTATTTCATCCTTCCACAATATATAGTCCTGACACAAATCTAGGGTTACTAGCCAAGCCGGCTGCTCGTTCGTTCTATCGGTTCGTTTGCCTATCCGTTCGTTTGCCAGAGACGCGACCCAGTCGTAAGTGAAGTATTTTTGTTCTGTATCTATGGACGCGACCCAGTCGTTCGTTCTAAATGTTCCATTGCCATACTGGCTGGCAACGTTCTTATCCCTTGCTTGGTTAGCTAGCCAACTACGGCTAAATTACAGTCACGTCAAAAGTGCAGCCTGAATAACAGCAAAGTAGCCACATTTGTTTAAGCTGTTTTCTAGTGACATTTATTTGAAGACGTCCATAACAATGAGCTAATGAGGCGCGATTTCGCCTGGCATAGAAACTGTGCTCACGTCAGGACACTGTGTTGTTCATAGGAGCTAGCCAACAACACAGCTAACACAATCACTTCAAACTGAAGCTGGAAAGACTGCCAACTAGCTGCACTTAGTTTCGTTGTACCTTTTTTTCAATTTACATTTAATTGTTTATATCCATAAAAACGATGCCAGCTGATTCATGATTTCGACTGGCTGAGAAACGCTGCCTGCCTGTCTGTCTTTTCCCGACAAAATGAATTACCATGGGACAGCTGGAGATTTAATTTGAATATTGAAACAATGTTTATACAAATCTCCGCTGTTGAAAACTAAATGTTATTCTAAAAGAAATGTGAGATAATATCTAGATACTTTTTATAGTGGAGATCAAGTTTATAAATATCCTGGCTGGGTTGATGAGACAGTAGATTGCGCAGTCCCGTGTAGCTCAGTTGGTAGAGCATTGCATTTGCAACGCCAGGGTTGTGGGTTCGATTCCCACTGGGGGCCAGTATGAAAATGTAGCACTCATTAACTGTAAGTAGCTCTGGATAAGCGCATCTGCTAAAATGACTAAAAAAACAGAGTAAATAGGCATTTTAACGTCATAGATTTAGCCAGTGGTAACTTGTGGAATAGGCTCCGGCTGGAATGCGGATTTAACCAATCAGCATTCATGATTAGACCCACCCGTTGTATAATGTGCCATAAATTACAATAAATCAAAGTGCCTGTAAATGATTTATACTGCAAAATGTGCACTTTCAATTTCAGACTTTTTTTTTGTTGCTTGATTGGCCAAACCTGAGCCAAATATTCATGTGACTGGACCTCACGAATCCCGCAATGCCTTGCGCCTTTAGCGTTTCCTGTACATCTTGCTCGGGAAGATAGCGGGCAGTAATCCTATCATTTGGAGAATTTATGTAAAATCAAATAAATAATCACCAGGCTACGGATTTTTTTTAAACAATCGTTTCAAAGAAAAGACAATGGTATGTTTGCAATTGGGTACATTTTGTGGCCAATTACTTTGCTCCAACGTCAGCATAGCCGGTAGCTAGCTAACGTCGTTCGCCAGTCTCATGTGAAATGTATGAGAAGCCTAGCAATCATTGCTAGCTATCTAGATAACGTTATATATTCGAATTAAACAAACCTCCTAACTATTTAAAGGAATCGATTAGCTACATCCGGCTCCCGACTTTTTTACCAAGCAACTGCCTGGCTTGCATTTATGTCAGTAACGTTAGACTAGTTAGCCACCTAGCTAGTTAGCTATTTAACATAACTTGTTATATATCTTGACCTGACAGGGTGCGGCTAGCTAACGTTAGCTAGTAATCTAGGTGTTGTAAAGGAATGTCTGCACACTCTTAACCAATCAATCCATGCTCAGAAATGCACTGTTATAGTTGAGGTGAAACTGATGATGCATATGAGTGGTGATAACTTCCAGTGAACCCATAGTTAGATCTGACAAGGCTAGCGAGGGTTCAAGGTTTCATAATGTTCAAATGGAAATGGTGTGTAGAACTCCTATGACTCTCTTGACAAGAAAGAACGGGGAAATCAATTTCTATAGCTACATTAAGGCCTAGGTTAGCTTGGCTATATGCTGAGTTCAGAATGTTGTGCTGTAACTAGTTAAGTTACTATAGAGGGCTCTCCAACCCTGTTCCTGGAGAACTACGGTCCTGTAGGTTTTCACTCAACCCTAATCTAGTACACCTGATTTTTAATCATTAACTGGTTGATTAGCTGAACCAGGTTAGTTACAACTGGGGTTGGAGCGAAAACCTACAGGAGGGTAGCTCTCCAGGAACAGGTTTGGAGACCCATGTACTAGACTGCAGAGCATTTCTCCCCCTTCATTTTCTCTGCTCCCGTCATACAGATCCGCTTCATCCTGATTCAGAACCGAGCAGGGAAGACCCGACTAGCCAAGTGGTACATGCAGTTTGATGACGATGAGAAACAGAAGCTGATTGAGGAGGTGCATGCTGTGGTGACTGTCCGTGATGCCAAGCACACCAACTTTGTGGAGGTAAGGCAGAACGATTTTCATGATGCCATGTCTGTGCGTTGGAGTCTGTGTGCCCTAATGAAGGCTATTATTTTCGAGCAATTGTATTCATTGTCACTATTTGGCATTCTAGGAAGGCTGGAAGCAACCTGGTACTGTAACTCAAGGTCTGGAGCTGCATTTGGCTTTACAGTGACATGGGCCTAAATTGTAGAATACATTGTGACACTGAAGAGACAGTGGATAGTAGGCTACATTTTCCACTGATATGCTGTAACCCTAATTGGTTAGCCAAGTTGAATTCGATATGCTAATAATTGAATATTTCATTGTAAATGAAAAAGACTTCTTGCAAGTCATAATTTCAAATCTACTGTAATTATTCTTAGATGAAAAATAAAAAGCACATATTGAGATGGTCGTCTGTCTTTTCTCCAGTTCAGGAACTTCAAGATCATCTATAGGCGCTATGCTGGTCTGTACTTCTGTATCTGTGTGGATGTGACAGACAACAACCTGGCATACCTGGAGGGTATTCACAACTTTGTGGAGGTACGTAGACTGTTTATTATGATGACACAATGTGGGAGCTGTTTTATGTCAATGACTCTGTCTGGTTTTGTGAAGGAATGTGGGCTAGTCAAATCTCCACCTTCATAGCTGAATGATTAGGCATATTGTGTTGGTAAACTATTGTATCGATGTGCTCCTACAGCAATTTGGAATATAGGGTGTGTCCGTTTGTAAATTCAGTGTTCAGAGCGCACACTGGACACTCTGGCCGAGGATTAGGGTTGATCCAAGCGTTCTGACCTCACAACGGCAGTCAAGCACCTAAGCTAACGTTGGCTAGCTTGCTAGCTACTTCCAGACACAAATGAGAGAACACCTCACTCTGACCATTTTACTCTAGAGCGTTGGTAACTGTGCTGCTGGCAACAATTTAATTACACTTTTTTTGTTTACTGACACCGGCCATATTCAACAGGTGTTGAGCGTTCGTAAATTCATCAGTTACTCTGCGCTCTGGCACACTCAGACGAGAGCGCTCTGAAATCGGAGTAGATAGCCAGAGCGAATTTACGAACGCACCCATAGAGTGCCACAGTATGAGTCATAATACCCATAAAACCTAGCGGTCAAACAGGGAAATAGTTTGTCGTTTTTCCACCATTTAAGTTTTCCCATAGGGGATTTTAGAAACGCTTAAAATAAGGGCTGTGTTTCGTGTACGCTTGCCCTGGCGTGACGTTTTGATAACCGTGTAAATCTCTCTAGGACAATGTGACATCAATATACACTGCTCAAAAAAATTAAGGGAACACTTAAACAACACAATGTAACTCCAAGTCAATCACACTTCTGTGAAATCAAACTGTCCACTTAGGAAGCAACACTGATTGACAATAAATGTCACATGCTGTTGTGCAAATGGAATAGACAACAGGTGGAAATTATAGGCAATTAGCAAGACACCGCCAATAAAGAAGTGGTTCTTCAGGTGGTGACCACAGACCACTTCTCAGTTCCTATGCTTCCTGGTTGATGTTTTGGTCACTTTTGAATGCTGGCGGTGCTTTCACTCTAGTGGTAGCATGAGACGGAGTCTATAACCCACACAAGTGGCTCAGGTAGTGCAGCTCATCCAGGATGGCACATCAATGCGAGCTGTGGCAAGAAGGTATGTTGTGTCTGTCAGCATAGTGTCCAGAGCATGGAGGCGCTACCAGGAGACAGGCCAGTACATCAGGAGACGTGGAGGAGGCCGTAGGAGGGCAACAACCCAGCAGCAGGACCGCTACCTCCGCCTTTGTGCAAGGAGGAGCAGGAGGAGCACTGCCAGAACCCTGCAAAATGACCTCCAGCAGGCCACAAATGTGCATGTGTCTGCTCAAACGGTCAGAAACAGACTCCATGAGGGTGGTATGAGGGCCCGACGTCCACAGGTGGGAGTTGTGCTTACAGCCCAACACCGTGCAGGACGTTTGGCATTTGCCAGAAAACACCAAGACTGGCAAATTCGCCACTGGCGGCCTGTGCTCTTCACAGATGAAAGCAGGTTCACACTGAGCACGTGACAGACGTGACAGAGTCTGGAGACGCCGTGGAGAACGTTCTGCTGCCTGCAACATCCTCCAGCATGACCGGTTTGGCGGAGGGTCAGTCATGGTGTGGGGTGGCATTTCTTTGGGGGGCCGCACAGCCCTCCATGTGCTCGCCAGAGGTAGCCTGACTGCCATTAGGTACCGAGATGAGATCCTCAGACCCCTTGTGAGACCGTATGCTGGTGCGGTTGGCCCTGGGTTCCTCCTAATGCAAGACAATTCTAGACCTCATGTGGCTGGAGTGTGTCAGCAGTTCCTGCAAGAGGAAGGCATTGATGCTATGGACTGGCTCGCCCATTCCCCAGACCTGAATCCAATTAAGCACATCTGGGACATCATGTCTCGCTCCATCCACCAACGCCAAGTTGCACCACAGACTGTCCAGGAGTTGGCGGATACTTTAGTCCAGGTCTGGGAGGAGATCCCTAAGGAGACCATCCGCCACCTCATCAGGAGCATGCCCAGGCGTTGTAGGGAGGTCATACAGGCACATGGAGGCCACACACACTACTGAGCCTCATTTTGACTTGTTTTAAGGACATTACATCAAAGTTGGATCAGCCTGTAGTGTGGTATTCCACTTTAATTTTGAGGGTGACTCCAAATCCAGACCTCCATGGGTTGATCCATTTGATTTCCATTGATAATTTTTGTGTGATTGTGTTGTCAGCACATTCAACTATGTAAAGAAAAAAGTATTTAATAAGATTATTTCATTCATTCAGATCTAGGATGTGTTGTTTAAGTGTTCCCTTTATTTTTTTTGAGCAGTGTATTTGCTTGTATCTACCCCCCAAAAATGAAATGCTATCATAAAGAACTACAAATGCCATGATGATCTGGACGAGACTGCCGAATCGAAGCACAGGTAAGAATGTATGGATTAACTATCTAATGTTAGCTAAATGTAGTAATGAATAAATTGGCAACATTTCTTTAAATTGACAATTCTGTGAACTGTCTTGTGCAAGTTTTAAATTGACACAATACCTGTTAGCAAAGGTGTCATCTAGAGATGACGACGCAGGGATTTGTAGTTTTGCATGATGTCTACTTTGATGCTAATTAGCATTTTCGAATCTGAGAGTAAATAGAGCCGAATATATTGAAAAGTCACCTTGTCTGAGAGAGATTTACATGGTTATCAAAATGTCACTCCAGGGTAAGCCTACATGAAACACAGCCCTTATTTTCAGTGTTTCTAAAATCCCCTGTGGAAAAACGATTGGAACCATTTCCCTGTTTGACCGCTAGGTCTTATTGGTATTATGACACCTCGACTGTGTGGCTCTATTTTCTATGCATTCTAACCCAGTGTAATACACCCCGTATAGTGTCTGTCGACTCGACGCAAAAGTAAGACCAAAACACCAAAGTGGGGGAAGCGCGAATCTCTGGTGGAATGTGGCCGTGAAGAAAAACAGTTGCGATTCCTGACACTCGGTTCAAGAGCACCGTGTCCTGGAATGCTGGATTTCCTCAGGCCCTTAAATGACCAACGCTGCATCTCAAATGATTCCCTATATAGGCTAGTGCACTACTTCTGACCAGAGCCTTGTACTATGGATTACACTGTTTCCTAGCTATGAATTAGACTAAATAACTAAAGTAACAAAACCTGACCTCCATGTCTTCTTTTAACCCTTTAGGTGTTGAATGAGTATTTCCACAATGTGTGCGAGTTGGACCTGGTGTTCAACTTCTACAAGGTAAGAGTAAAAGTGTTGAGATGATTTTTAAAACCACAAACACTCTGTGCTAAGAGGGAAAATGGAAAGGAGCGGAAGAAACCCGGTTGAGGTGAAAAGATACCATTAAAATGTTTCTTTCATTGCAATGGGGAGGTGCTATGGCAACGAGGATGGGATGCGTAATTACAACAATCAGTCAATTAGGCTCATCCACATCAATTTGGCGGGGGTTGGTTTTCCTCTGCAAGAAATGCTAAGCAATTAAGACTCCCCTGATGACTGCCCTTTAAGCAGTTATCGTGTCAATTACGTAAGGTATTTCTGAATATTCGCCCACTCGCTGAACCTTAAAGAAGCGCAGCCCACACTAAAAGTTGCTGCGCTCTGTGACGTCTTCTGATTCACAAAGAAAACAGAAAGTGCCAGAAATGAACATGATGGCAAACATCAGCTCGTCTCAACATCAACCCCCTCTCTATTAGATCTAGTGCCACAGCAGCAAGGCCTACGCACTGCTATAAAGAAACATTTCCATAATGGGGTGGAGATGAATCTGCAGGATCTATACAGTTATCCAACACTTTTTGTTTTTAAAAGCTGTGTTTGCGCGTGCATACAGGGAATTTGACTGGTGCAGTAGGCTGACCTCTGACCTGTGTTCTGTCCCAGGTGTACACGGTAGTGGATGAGATGTTCCTGGCGGGGGAGATCAGAGAGACGAGCCAGACCAAGGTCCTCAAGCAGCTGCTGATGCTCCAGTCGCTCGAGTAGCCAACGGAGCAGCCATCTTGACCAGTCCATCACCCACCCCCCCCATCAATGTCACTCTTGAAAGGACCCCCTCTCATTCGCCATCCTCCATGGAGCAGGCTCCACCCCTTACAGAAACCAGGGGCTTATTCACGAGTGTGGAAAGTCACAGAACGTTCGGATAGAAATGCATGGTGTAGAACAGACATCGTTTTCTGTCACGCAGAATCGGAATCTAGTCAGCTCTACACATTACATTTTTATCTGCAACAATGCGAAAGTTTCAACGTCTTGATTATGCCCCAATAAAGGCTGTGTATTTTGGTGATGCGCTGCAGATATGGCCCTTAACATTTCATTTCTTAACCACCAGTTCAAGTAAAATCATCTGGCTGAGTAGGAGTATATTTGCAGCATAGCATACAGCTGTATGCAGCACTGAAAATAAATGTTCTCTCTATGCCCTGTCTCAAGCTGAAGGCTGCACTTACGGCAGTTAGACTAGGGTTGCCAGTTATTCACCTGTGTATCCTGCCATCAAGCCTATACTAGTGGAGAGAGAGGATGACAAGGATTCATTGTTCTGGCAACCCCAGAGTGGCACTACAGTAGCTATCAAGCACCAGAAAACCAGTGTAAACTGGCTGTGATATCCCTGTCTACTCTGCACAATACGTCTGTCTGGGAGAATCACAGTTTGAGCTGCAGAGTGACTAAACCACCACTACAAATGCCCATTGAAGCCATTGACCTCTGCTGGTGGTTCACAGTTCAATGGAGTGCACTTACTAAGAGTGCTGTTGAGAGGTCTGGTAATGGCAACCTGTACAGGGTTGTATCTACTCTGTGATATTAAATAGGAGGTTCTCTGGTCTTAAATAACTGTCAAGATCATGTCAGGTTGTATATCAGACAATGCGTCTCCACTCCACATATGGTGCTTGTAAGTCACATCCAGATATGTTCACATTTAAGTACACACAAATACTTTAATTTAAAGGAAACTGAACAGCAAAAAAAATTCTAGTTAATGGAAATATACAGTGATATATATTTTAAGTAAAGCAGTACTGTGAAGTTTGTTTTGTATGGTGTACATATATACAGTATCTTATGCGTAATAGTGTGAAACCATTGTCTTGTCCATTCCAGGCCTTTCCCCAGCTTCTCCTGCCTGTCTCGTTGTCACTGAGTGTTTAATACACAGGTCTGAATTGGGGGGAAATTCCATTAATATTCCCTGGTCACCTCATTCATACTACATAAATGGTTTCTTTAACATCAACCAAAGGTCAAATGATATGACCAAAACTCCAGAGGTAACCATGTCGAGTCTTGCACCTCCCAAAACATCACAGGTTTCACATGTTACTATTATGGTTTAGGTTAGATTTTTGAATGAGTTTTTATTTTATTTGGCTGTAGTGAGAGATGTACTGCTTCCCCTGTCCACATGTCTGTCCTGTGTGAGATTGATGAAAGATGTGTTTAGGTGTTAACGTCTCCTGTTGCTAAACTACCCAGTATTCCAGACATTATATAAAAATAAAAAAAGTACTAAAAATACCTTTGTGCTTTTTATACTGTAGATAATGTATTGTAAATGTTTTTAATGTGATGAACATAGATTAAGGACTGAAGTTGGAAAACGTATCATTCGTTTGTGATATAGTACCACCTAGTGGTATCAATCCAGCATAGCCTTCACATTCTGGAATCCGCCGCCCTCTGAGGTTATTCTAGGAGCCTCACAGTGATCGATAAATCAATAAATATATCCACTTCAGCTACATTAACGCACTCTGCCTGTTACTCCATTGACCCACAAACATAAATTCAGACAATTAGACAAAGCTTTTACCATGTAGACTAGCATATGAAGTCTCCCGATACACTAACCCCACCCTACTCTGTCTCTGTGCGGTCTGTGGTGGATAGGCAACCAGGTTGACACAATGAACGTGCACACACACACACACGTCAAGACATGATCCGCAATAAGTCAAATTCACCGCAGAGTTAAAAAGCTATGTTTATTTAGAATATATCTTTAAAATGAACAAGCAACCCTTCCCTGCCAGAAAAAAATCCAATAGACAAACTTAAATCTTATTTACAGCATAGATTATTCAGATGTACAGTAGTTCTTAAGATGACTCCATCACATTGGTTACTAAGCAACAGAGTTTCTGCTCCATTTCGAGTCGAGAAATGACAGGAGACTGAAGGAAGTTAATCACATGACCATCAGCCTATTATTAAGCGCTTACGATGCATTCAATAGAATACTCAGCATACATAATACATTATTGAGGCCAGGGTTCAACGGTCTTAGGGTCAAGCAGCATGGAGTGCATCACTGCTGTTGTGAGACATGACTGACTGATTGCAGTCAGTCTGTGGTCTGCACACTCACATGGGCTCAGGAAGTCACAGTAATCTCCAAGTGTTACATCATCCCTACAACGGCAGCAGTAAGCAACAATGAGTCAATAAAAAATCATTTTACCACAACCCTGGAGAGGGAGAATAGAACAGGTGGCTTGGTCAGTCAGTCAACACCGGGAGAGAAAGGACAAAATCGCAGTTCTTTAGTAAGGAATGATTACCACTACAATTGCTCTTTTTTATTACAGTATATATTTCAATTAATACAATGTACAATTCTATCGATACAGTATATAAACATAACAATCTCACGTAAAAGTGCACTTGCAGAGAAAGAAACAAAAACAAAGCAGCCTTTTTTTTTTTGGTTTACACAAAATGGGACCAGTCTTTCTCGGGTTGATGATGTCACAGTGGCATTTTGATAGCCATCTTCTCAAGGCTGGTTCAGTGTAACAGATAAGCTGCTCTTAGTGGAGTGCAAAAAGTAGCATTGCTTAAGAATTAGGTAAGGCTGCATGGGGTTAACCTGATTCTATGTGACAGTCAGAAAATGACAGGTGGAAGAGGTAAGACATGTAAAAACAATAAGTGCAGTTGAATCTTACAGACTGCAGCCTGGCCCTCTAACCTGAATATTTCCCACTAGTAACACTGAAACCAGTCTAGCTTCCTGTGACCGGTCTTTACATGTGAACGCAGAGCAGAAGAGAAATGAAGAGGGCAGAGATCAGGGTTACATTCTCAGAGATAACCTCTCCCCCCCAGGGCGGGATAGAGCCAGAGATTGAGACAGAGCGTAACCCTTACATGGCAAAGGCAAGCAGTGACATTAGATATGCAGCTGATAATGGGGAACAACAAGCGGTCATTGGGGTCCTTTGGAAAACCATAAGAAAAGACAACTGAAACCTTCCTAACCCTTGTGCTTTGGACATAACCTGCAGGCCCTTCATGGAGAGAATCGATTTCCCTTTGGGAGGTGATAGTAATGACAGTTTTGGGGGGGGGGGGGGGGGGGGGGGGGGGTATACGACTGTATACATCCACAATGTCAAGCATTTTTCTACTCCACTTGATAAATTGCATTAATTTAAAACACACCTTGGACAAGTTGTCCATTAGATTAGAATCAATGCCATTTATACCCAAGGTCGAGTTACATGTGGTCAAATTTAGACCGGTGGAATCAGTTACATGTGTACATCTGAAGCCAGGGGCTTGGGTGTTGATAATAAATGGCTATTTTCAGGTTGCAGAGTGGTCAAGTTTGGGTTGGGGAGACTTAGGTTTACCTGGTTATGATAAGGTGAACAGCAGGCTTGATTAGAAGTACTGTTCAGTGCAAACAAAGGTTAAATTCAGCTTATAAAAAACAAATATAATAATAGGGAGTGATGGGTAAAACAAGAACTTCAACTGTCAAGCAACCTGATAGTGCAGTCTAACAGGCTGTGTATGAATGAGGAAGTTCACCATGTTTGTTTTGCATTTCATCCTTCATGGACTTTCAGTTACAGGCGGTGTGTGTACGTACGGTCTGTGTCTGTGTGTGTGCGTGCGTGCGTGCAAGCGTGTTGATAAAAACCACGAAGGGTAAAAACGGGACATCCCCTACACACAACCCCTAACCCTGACAGTCATCCCAGATATTGACTCTTCTTCTTCTTATGTTCCCAGCACAGTTCACACCACAGGGTCTCCCAGCCTAGGACCCAGGAGCCCGGGTAACCTCCCTTGGCAGGAAGTACCAATGGTCAGGGGTTGCAGGTCCTCCATGGCGACTGGTCCAGGTCTGCTGTAAGTGTGTAAGGGGTTGCAGAAGGGGGAGGAGGAGGAGTCCTGCACATCCCAAAACACCTAGAGCTGAGAGGGAGAGAAATGATTATACATTTTGATCAATTATTTTCTAAAGCCACATTTAATCAAAGCATGGCAGTCTACTGACCTTTAAGGGGCGTCCTGTGCGTGTGGGGTTGAAGGGTGAGGGTGGGGTCCGGCCCCTAGCAGTTACACTGCTGCTTGGTCTGTGAGGTGGAACCTCTGGGCTGTCTCAGCTGCCTCAGAGAAGAATCTCCATACTGGATACCTGAACCCATCCGCTCTGGGTCCAACTCACCTGACACACATACACACAGAGGCAAGGAGCATGAACACACACATATACATTATACGAAGAAAGACAAGGACACACACACACACACACACACACACACACACACACACACACACACGCACACGCACAGGTGTAAACAACAAGAGCAAACACACAGACATCCCAAAATCATACATTCTCAACATATGATTGTAAGATCAAAATCCAACAGATACACAGTTTTAGCACACACACACACGGCTTATAAGTAAACACATGTACTGTTTGTTTACCTGACTCCATCTTGTTGAGGATGGTGCGGGCAGTTTTGAGGAAGGCCTCCTCCACGTTCTCCCCTGTCAGAGCACTGGTCTCCAGGAACATCAGCTCTGTAACAGTCAACACAGTCAGTAAAATCGATACGAATACAGGGAAACAGCCTGAGTAGAGGAGAGAGAGACGGACAGACAGTTACCGTTCTCCTGTGCGAAGCGGGACGCCTCAAGGAAGGTGACTTCTCGGTCCGCATCCAGGTCCTTCTTATTCCCACACAGGATGATGACGATGTTGGGGCTGGCCAGCGTCCGTGCGTCTGTCAGCCAGTTGGTCAGGGCGTTGTACGTCTCCCGGCTAGAAGACAGACAGACACGCCAGATAGACACGACAGACAGATACAGACGAGGGGAGAACTGAGTTAATCACATTAACTGTTTCATTAGGACAGGAAAGTTCAATAGGATGGGATGGTACTTTTGAAAAATCAGTGTTGGGAATTGTGTGTTCATTACAGCATCAGAGGTCAAATACAAGAAGCAATTGGATGAGGGGGAGATGATAGAGGTTGAGAATATTAGCAGTTTTCAAAACGTACACTTTTCAATATATACCTCTATGGGCTAATGTTCTTTTTGCTCCAAATGAGAAAGGAGGTATAGAAAGTCATCCCTCCCTTTACCCTCTTCAAGGACAGATGCCACGTCCCACCTTCTAGAAACATATTTTTTTTTGGGGGGGGTGAAGTGACCCGTCACCATGGTGACCGCATTGGTGACTTCAGTGAGCAGAAGGGTGCAGACTAATATCCCACAGCTCCAGTGAGGCGGCTAAACCATGACGTCAGCATAGAGCTAAGAGATGATGACCCCTCTGCCTCAGTGTAGCTCTTTCACACCACACCCCACCGCACCGCACCCAACCCCACCCCAACACACGCTGTCGGTCTCCTCTCTTTCTTCTACCCTTCTATTCCTTTGACCTGAACCATGTTGATACATTGCTCCCACTTCTCTCCCTTCCTCCCACACTTTGCTTCTCTCTCTCTCCCCATATTCTCTCCCTTCCTGCTCTCTCCATTCCGCACTCCCTCCTTCTCAGTTGTCTAATGGAGTTTTGCTTTCGGGCTGCTGCCGCCTGCCTGGAGACACCGCTTTATTACAGTACTGTCACCCGACATTACACCATTCACTCCATTATGATTATGCAACAGGCAGTGACATGGCAACTCTGGGCTTACTAAATAAAAACGCTTGACTTGGTGCGGCCATACACACGTCTATCTCTGACTCAGAGTGTCTTAGTGCTCCTGACAGACTGTCAAATCAAATTGTATTTGTCACATGTGCCGAATACAACAGGTGTAGACCCAGTGAAATGCTTACTTACAAGCCCTTAACACTTATTTTTCTGAAAACTGCATTGTTGGTTAAGTAAAAAATTTAATAATTAAAAGAGCAGCAGTAAAATAACAGTAGCGAGGCTATATACAGGGGGTAGCGGTACAGAGTCAATGTGCGGGGACACAGGTTAGTCGAGGTAATATGTAAATGTAGGTATAGTTAAAGTGACTATGCATAGATAATAAACAGAGAGTAGCAGCAGCGTAAAAGAGGGGGTGGGGGGGACAATGCAAATAGTCCGGGTAGCCATTTGATTAGCTGTTCAGGAGTCTTATGGCTTGGGGATAGAAGCTGTTAAGAAGCCTTTTGGACCTAGACTTGGCGCTCCGGTACCGCTTGCCATCCGGTAGCAAAGAGAACAGTCTATGACTAGGGTGGCTGGAGTCTTTGACAATTTCTAGGGCCTTCCTCTGACACCGCCTGGTATAGAGGTCCTGGATGGCAGGAACCTTGGCCCCAGTGATGTACTGGGCCGTACGCACTACCCTCTGTAGTGCCTTGTGGTCGGAGGCTGCCAGGCAGTGATGCAACCAGTCAGGATGCTCTCGATGGTGCAGCTGTAGAACTTTTTGAGGATCTGAGGATCCATGCCAAATCTTTTCAGTCTCCTGAAGGGGAATAGGCTTTGTCGTGCCCTCTTCATGACTGTCTTGGTGTGTTTGGACCATGATAGTTTGTTGGTGATGTGGACACCAAGGAACTTGAAGCTCAAAACCTGCTCCACTACAGCCCTGTCGATGAGAATGGGGGAGTGCTCAGTCCTCTTCTTTTTCCTGTAGTCCACAATCATCTCCTTTGTCTTGATCACGTTGAGGGAGAAGTTGCTATCCTGGCACCACACGGCCAGGTCTCTGACCTCCTCCCTATAGGCTGTCTCATCGTTGTCGGTGATCAGGCCTACCACTGTTGTGTCGTCGGCAAACTTAATGATGGTGTTGGAGTCGTGAAAATCACATTAGGATTTTTAATGAATTTAAATGCAAATTATGGTGGAAAATAAGTATTTGGTCAATAACAAAAGTTTCTCAATACTTTGTTATATACCCTTTGTTGGCAATGACACAGGTCAAACGTTTTCTGTAAGGTTTTCACACACTGTTGCTGGTATTTTGGCCCATTCCTCCATGCAGATCTCCTCTAGAGCAGTGATGTTTTGGGGCTGTCGCTGGGCAACACGGACTTTCAACTCCCTCCAAAGATTTTCTATGGGGTTGAGATCTGGAGACTGGCTAGGCCACTCCAGGACCTTGAAATGCTTCTTACGAAGCCACTCCTTCGTTGCCCGGGCGGTGTGTTTGGGATCATTGTCATGCTGAAAGACCCAGCCACGTTTCATCTTCAATGCCCTTGCTGATGGAAGGAGGTTTTCACTCAAAATCTCACGATACATGGCCCCATTCATTCTTTCCTTTACACGGATCAGTCGTCCTGGTCCCTTTGCAGAAAAACAGCCCCAAAGCATGATGTTTCCACCCCCATGCTTCACAGTAGGTATGGTGTTCTTTGGATGCAACTCAGCATTCTTTGTCCTCCAAACACGACGAGTTGAGTTTTTACCAAAAAGTTATATTTTGGTTTCATCTGACCATATGACATTCTCCCAATCCTCTTCTGGATCATCCAAATGCACTCTAGCAAACTTCAGACGGGCCTGGACATGTACTGGCTTAAGCAGGGGGACACGTCTGGCACTGCAGGATTTGAGTCCCTGGCGGCGTAGTGTGTTACTGATGGTAGGCTTTGTTACTTTGGTCCCAGCTCTCTGCAGGTCATTCACTAGGTCCCCCACGTGTGGTTCTGGGATTTTTGCTCACCGTTCTTGTGATCATTTTGACCCCACGGGGTGAGATCTTGCGTGGAGCCCCAGATCGAGGGAGATTATCAGTGGTCTTGTATGTCTTCCATTTCCTAATAATTGCTCCCACAGTTGATTTCTTCAAACCAAGCTGCTTACCTATTGCAGATTCAGTCTTCCCAGCCTGGTGCAGGTCTACAATTTTGTTTCTGGTGTCCTTTGACAGCTCGTTGGTCTTGGCCATAGTGGAGTTTGGAGTGTGACTGTTGGAGGTTGTGGACAGGTGTCTTTTATACTGATAACAAGTTCAAACAGGTGCCATTAATACAGGTAACGAGTGGAGGACATAGGAGCCTCTTAAAGAAGAAGTTACAGGTCTGTGAGAGCCAGAAATCTTGCTTGTTTGTAGGTGACCAAATACTTATTTTCCACCATAATTTGCAAATAAATTCATTCAAAATCCTACAATGTGATTTTCTGGATTTTTTTTCTCTCAATTTGTCTGTCATAGTTGACGTGTACCTATGATGAAAATTACAGGCCTCTATCATCTTTTTAAGTAGGAGAACTTGCACAATTGGTGGCTGACTAAATACTTTTTTCCCCCACTGTAATAGCACAATTGGTTAGGAGCCCGTAAAACGGCAGCCATCTCCTCCGGCGCCATTATTCGGTCTCTCTGTGCTCTATTGTCTATGCTAACTCACACGTCTCTGTGTGTGTACGAGTGACCAGTAAAACCAATGTGCTTTTATCATGGGTCTATCATTGGTTCACCTACCTTGTAATGTCATAGACAAGCAGCGCCCCTGCCGCTCCACGGTAGTAGCTGCGAGTCACAGACCTGCAAGGAGGGCAGACAGACAGCACCGTTAACCAATCACAGATCCAGAATACAATCTGTCAACCAATGAGAGCACAGGTCAGAGGTAACGGCACCTCTAGGTAACCAATGGGAGGTCTTTACCTGAAGCGCTCCTGTCCGGCTGTGTCCCAGATCTGTAGTTTGACTGTCTTACCCCCGACGTTGACCACCCTGGAACCAAACTCGACCCCGATGGTGTGGTTGGAGTCCTGCTTGACTGTACAGCCAGAGACAGACCGGGAGAGAAGCCACAACCATCACTGTACTGTTTGTTTATGTCTCATATATCTTTTATTAAAATATGTCTGTTTTTACAGATGGCTGGTTTGTGAAAGACAACCTTGACTGAAAGGTAAAACCCCTATAGGTGTTGCCAATACTTCACAGAAACATTTCCTGGTTAATTCCCAGTCACAGTGCTGATCTACATTGTGCTGTTGCGTTGTGCTTGTTTTAAGACCAGAACAGTTAGCTTCAGAAGCCTCTTCAGAAGCCTATTCAGAAGCCTCATCAGCATATCAGAGGGTTGAGGAGCTACTGCCTCTCCCAGGTCCAGAGATTAACACAGTCAAAGCCCTTCTCTCACGCTACTGACAGCACTGGGAATTAGATGTCTTCATCTCATTTACACATCAGTGTGTGTGTGTGTGTGTGTGTGTGTGTGTGTGGACATCCGCTTCATGAGTGTGTAAAGTGCATTTGGAAAGTTCAAACCCCTTGACTTTTTCCACATTTTGTTGAAGGGGAAAAAACTATTTAACTCATTTTAGAATAAGGCTGTAACGTAACAAAATGTGGAAAAAGTCAAGGGGTTTGAATACTTTCCGAATGCACTGTATGTACAGTGGGGAGAACAAGTATTTGATACACTGCCGATTTTGCAGGTTTTCCTACTTACAAAGCATGTAGAGGTCTGTAAGTTTTATCATAGGTACACTTCAACTGTGAGAGACAGAATCTAAAACAAAAATCCAGAAAATCAAATTGTATGATTTTTAAGTAATAATTTGCATTTTATTGCATGACATAAGTATTTGATCACCTACCAATCAGTAAGAAATCCGTCTCTCACAGACCTGTTAGTTTTTCTTTAAGAAGCCCTCCTGTTCTCCACTCATTACCTGTATTAACTGCACCTGTTTGAACTCGTTACCTGTATAAAAGACACCACACACTCAATCAAACAGACTCCAACCTCTCCACAAATGGCCAAGACCAGAGAGCTGTGTAAGGACATCAGGAATAAAATTGTAGACCTGCACAAGGCTGGGATGGGCTACAGGACAATAGGCAAGCAGCTTGGTGAGAAGGCAACAACTGTTGGCGCAATTATTAGAAAATGGAAGAAGTTCAAGATGACAGTCAATCACCTTCGGTCTGGGGCTCCATGCAAGATCTCACCTCGTGGGGCATCAATGATCATGAGGAAGGTGAGGGATCAGCTCAGAACTACACGGCAGGACCTGGTCAATGACCTGAAGAGAGCTGGGACCACAGTCTCAAAGAAAACCATTAGTAAAACACTACGCCGTCATGGATTAAAATCCTGCAGCGCACGCAAGGTCCCCCTGCTCAAGCCAGCACATGTCCAGGCCCGTCTGAAGTTTGCCAATGACTATCTGGATGATCCAGAGGAGGAATGGGAGAAGGTCATGTGGTCTGATGAGACAAAAATAGAGCTTTTTGGTCTAAACTCCACTCGCCGTGTTTGGAGGAAGAAGAAGGATGAGTACAACCCCAAGAACACCATCCCAACCGTGAAGCATGGAGGTGGAAACATCATTCTTTGGGGATGCTTTTCTGCAAAGGGGGCAGGACGACTGCACCGTATTGAGGGGAGGATGGATGGGGCCATGTATCGCGAGATCTTGGCCAACAACCTCCTTCCCTCAGTAAGAGCATTGAAGATGGGTCGTGGCTGGGTCTTCCAGCATGACAACGACCCGAAACACACAGCCAGGGCAACTAAGGAGTGGCTCCGTAAGAAGCATCTCAAGGTCCTGGAGTGGCCTAGCCAGTCTCCAGACCTGAACCCAATAGAAAATCTTTGGAGGGAGCTGAAAGTCCGTATTGCCCAGCGACAGCCCCGAAACCTGAAGGATCTGGAGAAGGTCTGTATGGAGGAGTGGGCCAAAATCCCTGCTGCAGTGTGTGCAAACCTGGTCAAGACCTACAGGAAACGTATGATCTCTGTAATTGCAAACAAAGGTTTCTGTACCAAATATTAAGTTCTGCTTTTCTGATGTATCAAATACTTGTGTCATGCAATAAAATGCAAATGAATTGCTTAAAAATCATACAATGTGATTTTCTGGATTTTTGTTTTAGATTCCGTTTCTCACAGTTGAAGTGTACCTATGATAAAAATTACAGACCTCTACATGCTTTGTAAGTAGGAAAACCTCTAAAATCGACAGTGTATCAAATACTTGTTCTCCCCACTGTATGTGCGTGTCAGTGTGCAGAGATGCATGTAACGTTTCTATATTATTGTACATAAACAATGCATGTGGGTGTTGTTTATTTGCAGGACAGGGGAGACCAGCATTGGCACTACTTACACTTGGTCTCAATGAACTGGTGGAGGAGGCAAGATTTCCCTGCCCCAGCACTACCAATCACCAGGAACTTAAACAGGAAGTCTGAAATGAGAGAGAGCGGGGACAGAAATCAATACAACACCAGCGGCTCAAACTGTTGAGACCAATCCTTAAGTTTTCTTGTGACTGTGAGCTGCTCACTGTCACAGAGTTGCCAATGGTCCCAAATTATCTGGCTAATCACTACCTTGCGTGTGAGTGTGATGGCATGTTAACATTGATGCTAATTTGCTAAGCGACTTGTAGAAGAAGGATGGAGGTAAAAGAGACTTCTAAAATTAACAATGAGAGGTTGTGTTGTCAACCACTGACAGGTGTAATCCCATAGGTCATCACTCCTCGCTTTGAGAGAGATTGAGTTGTATCATCCTGTCGGTCTCCTTTGGAACTAACCGTGATTTCCCCCAATAAAAAGCCAATCTTATCTGTTTGGTGTGGGTTGTCTCGGAGTGTACGCTGAGTGACAGCGATATCATCCAGGAGCCCAGTCCCCAATAGACTCCCAGCCTCTGACCTCATACCACCCTCTCTTTGGTGATGTCGTCACCACTCTGACCAAAGGGGTAGATGACTCAGAGACTCACTGACACCTCACACACACATACACACAGTTGAAGTAGGAAGTTTACATACACTTTAGCCAAATACATTTAAACTCAGTTTTTCACAATTCCTGACATTTAATCCTAGTAAAAATTCCCTGTTTTAGGTCAGTTAGAATCACCACTTTATTTTAAGAATGTGAAATGTCAGAATAAAAGTAGAGGGAATGATTTCAGCTTTTATTTCTTTCATCACATTCCCAGTGGGTCAGAATTTTACATACACTTAATTAGTATTTGGTAGCATTGCCTTTAAATTGTTTAATTTGGGTCAAACGTTTTGGGTAGCCTTCCACAAGCTTCCCACAATAAGTTGGGTGAATTTTGGCCCATTCCTCCTGACAGAGCTGGTGTAACTGAGTCAGGTTTGTAAGCCTCCTTGCTCGCACACGCTTTTTCAGTTCTGCCCACACATTTTCTATAGGATTGAGGTCAGGGCTTTGTGATGGCCACTCCAATACCTTGACTTTGTTGTCCTTAAGCCATTTTGCCACAACTTTGGAAGTATACTTGGGGTCATTGTCCATTTGGAAGACTAACTTTAAGCGTCAGTTGTCAGAGCAGCTTACCGATCACTGCACCTGTACACAGCCATTCTGAAATTAGCCCACCCAACTACCTCAACCCCATATTCTTATTTATTTTGCTAATTTGCACCCCAGTATCTCTATTTGAACATCATCTTTTGCATATCTATCATCAGTGTTAATTACAAAATTGTAACTATTTTTGCACTATAGCCTATTTATTTATTGCCCTCCATAACTTACTACATTCGCACACACTGTATATATATTTTCTGTTGTATTTTTGACTTTATGTTTTGTTTACCCCATATGTAACTCTGTGTTGTTGTTTTTAAATCGCACTGCTTTGCTTTATCTTGGCCAGGTCGCAGCTTTAACTTCCTGACTGATGTCTTGAGATGTTGCTTCAATATATCTACCTAATTTTAATTCCTCATGATGCCATCTATTTTGTGAAGTGCACCAGTCCCTCCTGCAGCAAAGCACCCCCACAGCATTATGCTGAAACCCCCGTGTTTCACGGTTGGGATGGTGTTCTTCGGCTTGCAAGCCCCCCCTTTTTCCTCCAAACATAACGATGGTCATTATGGCCAAACAGTTCTATTTTTGTTTCATCAGACCAGAGGAGAAATTTTCCAAAAAGTAAGAACTTTGTCCCCATGTGCAGTTGCAAACTGTAGTCTGGCTTTTTTATGGCGGTTTTGGAGCAGTGGCTTCTTCCTTGCTGAGCGGCCTTTCAGGTTATGTCGATATAGGACTCGTTTTACTGTGGATATAGATACTTTTGTACCTGTTGTTTCCTCCAGCATCTTCACAAGGTCCTTTGCTGTTGTTCTGGGATTGATTTGCACTTTTCGCACCAAAGTACGTTCATCTCTAGGAGACAGAACGCGTATCCTTCCTGAGCGGTATGACGGCTGCGTGGTCCCATGGTATTTATACTTGCGTACTATTGTTTGTACAGATGAACATGGTACCTTCAGGCGTTTGGAAATTGCTCCCAAGGATGAACCAGACTTGTGGAGGTCTACAATGTTTTTTCTGAGGTCTTGGCTGATTTCTTTTGATTTTCCCATGATGCCAAGCAAAGAGGCACTGAGTTTGAAGGTAGGCCTTGAAATACATCCACATGTACACCTCCTATTGACTCAAATGATGTCAATTAGCCTATCAGAAGCTTCTACAGCCATGACATCATTTTCTGGAATTTTCCAACCTGTTTAAAGGCACCGTCAACTTAGTGTATGTAAACTTCTGACCCACTGGAATTGTGATACAGTGAATTGTGTGAAGTGAAATAATCTTTCTGTAAACAATTGTTGGAAAAAATACTTGTGTCATGCACAAAGTAGATGTCCTAACCGACTTGCCAAAACTATAGTTTGTTAACAATACATTTGTGGAGTGGTTGAAAAACGAGTTTTAATGACTCCAACCTAAGTGTATGTAAACTTCCGACTTCAACTGTATAACTGCACATTTTCTCTCAGCCCCATAACGAAATGTGTAGAACTGTAGGAAATTAGCTTTAAAAACAGCCACATTTGGTCTCTGCGGCCATTGGCCACGCCCACTACATTCCCCCGCTAACTTTGCCACAGCTGCTGAAAAAGATCCTAGGGGAAACACTGAGCTGGCTACATGACCGCAAGTGTATAAGAGTGGAGGCAGTCTATTCACAAACAGTCTATGTATAGCCGACCGGCCGAGTACATCTGCACAATACAGAAGGGTTACATTGGGCAGCTGCACAGATCTGGTGATGTGTTGGACCGGGTCTGGTCCTTGACCCATCCTACGTACATGACCATCTGGCTGAGGCCCTGATGTGTGGGACAGAGAGCGGTCCAAAGACGGTCTTTGTGCCGTGACCACAGATAGGGCAGGGGCCATTTGCATGCGCAGGCCAGGGTTCCACCAAGCCATTCAAGGAACAATGGGGAATTGAAGAGGGCGAGGCTAGCTGTGTGTGGAAAGGGGCAGCAGCGGTATAGAGTGCAGCATGCCCAAGTCTCTCTCTCTCTCACACACACACACACACACACACACACACACACACACACACACACACACACGTGAGTCAAGCTGCAGGAGAAACACACAGGGGGCATGGCCCCTCACTCTGAGTTTCAAGCCTAGTTGTTGCATTTCCTAGGAGCCCATTTCAGTTACATTTCCAACTCTGTCAGTGCCTGACTTTTCTCCTCAACTTTCTGACTGATTTGCAGATTGGATGCTATTGACCACTCTGCTGCTAGTAGGCTAATCAGCTATGCTACATATGCTGCTGTACCAAAGCAGACCAGTCAAATATAGAGTCAATATGGTAACTGGAGTAAATGACGGATAAAAGGAAAGAGCAGGGGATGAGATTGATCCTTTGTTCTTCTGTGACATTTAAACACATTAGTTATTCTGCAGCCAGCTATTCTCCAACCCATAAATCAACCATGGCCTATTTATACTAGTGTGTTGTTTACTCAAGCAACATAACCTTGAGGCCACATTCATGGCAAGCTAGCTACCCACTAGTGGCCTTATCACACCTTGTTTCCTGTCTCTCAGCGACCACACTTATCAAAGACAACCTGTGTGTGAATGTGACAGATAGAAAAAGCCTGTCTAGGCCTTACTGCGGAAGGGAATAGTTGAGTCATATTGTATTTACGCCATAATAACACAAGTATTTTGCCTGGTATAAGCCATACTAAACAGTGGGTAGGATTTGGCAGGAATAAGAGCATGATCAGTGACCTCACACACACACACACACCTGTTCTAGTCTGCCCTTCAGTCCACCTGCTCTGAATCAGACCCCTGTGTTACCTCTGGAGCCAAGCCATATAATCTCTTATAGTGCTGGACTTCATCAGTGTGTGTACACTAAGTCAGCCTCTCCCCTAACCGAGAGACTGTGTGATGCGTTTTGTGCTTAGGTAAAGAATTAAGTACAGTAGGCCTATTCCTTCACTGAGAGCCAAAGTGAATTAGTGAATGCAGCTTCTGTTACTGTCTGCTTTGTGTAGTCACGTGTCTCCCCTGTGACACTGTTGTTCTGCCCTCCTTTATCCCTTCTTGTACTTAGAAGAAAAAAAAAGCCAATGAGGAAATCAATGAAAACTATTACAGCTGTCCTCTATATATCATTAGTGTAGAGCACTCCACTTCTAATGTTGACCTGTTGGTGTAGCATTTCAGAGAGAGAGAGAGAGAGAGAGCGAGAGAGAGAGAAAGACAGAACCACAAGGAAAGACTACATAATTATCAAGTGAGGGAGACACAGATGGAGAGACGTGTGTGTGTGTGTGTGTGTGTGTGTCAGCAGGGGGTTGAGCAAGCTGCAACAGGAGAGGTGTGAGTATGCATGGTGTGCTGTTGCAAAAACAAAACCAATCCATTCGCCACACCGTAAGAAAATGAATATGCCTGGCTACAGTAAAACAACACTTGGCTACCACTGGACACCATGTCCAAAGCATGTTTACAAAGTTCAAATTGATATTTCGGCATAAAGATTGCAAGACAGTGGTCAAAGGAAGATAAAACTGCAATTTTTCCATTGGTGAGAATAACAAGATTGTTCGTTAGTAACAAACCAACGTAAATGTCTTAGATTGGCCCCCATGGAATTGTACATGTAATGGACCAACAAACACCTAGCTTGTTTTGATTTCAAAAGATGAAGGTTACTTTGTAGTTTAAAAAGTGGCATGAGAAGAGTTTACATTCAGGAGATTGGATTAATGTGGAATAGAATTAATAGAATCCCCATTCTAGCTGACAAGTCAAGCAAGCGTACATGCCCCCTCACATGTAAACATGCTCGCACACAACACGAGATGTTTGTTTTGGGATTTCTACAGTTCTGAAAACCAGTCAGGCTTTTAAACCTCTTAAAAATGAGTATGTTT